ATAAATAAATTTATATTTAAAAAAAAGAATGTCTGTTTCCTAATCTGTAAAATGGAGACAATTTTTCGTGCCACAAGAATCAAATGAGATAATATATGTGCCATGCTTTAAATGTAAAAAAAAAAATTAAAATAACATGTAATATGTATGCTAACAATTATTCTAAGTTATGCTTTTTCTAATGATCTTCAGTTATAGCTGGAAAACAGAAAAATAAAGAAATTATCATGAAAAATTGTTGGAATATGCATTTATAGCATCAAAAAGCATTTGCTAACTTAAAAGAAGCATACACGCACACACAAAAATAAGCAAGATTGTTATTGTATAAGTAAACAAAAAGAGAAAGTGGATGGCAGTTTGATCAAAGAACTGGTAGCCAAGAGGATTGTGCCTTCTAATTTATACTGAACTACCTCATGATGGGGAGTCACTGACACCTTTGTGCTCCACTCAGTTCTGATGTGAAATCTGTCTAAAAGCAAAGTAGAATATGACTAAAAAAAACACGACCTGCTTCACAAGTGCCTATCCATGCTAAAACACACTTTGCAATAAATAACAAGTTGTTTCATAAGAAGCGTAAGGCAGACAAGCAGTCCATTAAGTTACATGAGTACAGAGCACTATAATGCTGAGAGTCCATGAGAATGTTTCTATTAAATATTTGGCAAACAGTGTACTGCTGAGGACAATGTCAAAATAAAAAATGAAGAAGATATTACTAATTTGTCCTTCCTCTAGAGCTAGTAGTAATATATAGCATAATATAGTGTGTGTGTGTGTATACATATATATATATATACATATATATATATACATATATGTATGTATGTATGTATGTATGTATGTATGTATACACAAAAACAAGGATTTTCATTTTTGCTCTGGAGCATGTAATTAAGTAATTAAAAGATGAAAAAATCCTTAAACCCATAGGAATTGCTTGCTGATGATTTTAGACAAATATTATTTATCATTTTAAAGTGAGCTCCATTTATTCCTTTGCTCTCTAGTGTTTTTAATAGGCATGGGTGCTGTATTTTTCCAAAAGATTTTTCAGCATCTGTTGAGAAGATCATATGATTTCTAGTGGTTTTGTTACTGATATGATTAAATATGCTGATAGTTTTCCTAACATTTAACCAGTCCTGCATTCCTGGTATAAATCCCACCTGGTCATAATGTATGATCCTTGTAATATATTGTGGTAATCTCTTTGCTAGTATTTTACTTAATTTTTTTATAACAATAGTCATTAGGAAATTGACCTGTAATTTTCTTTCTCTGTTTTGGCTCTTCTTGGTTTGGGTATCAGCACCACATTTGTGTCATAAAAGAAATTTTGTAGGACTCCTTCCTTGACTATTTTTTCCAAATAGATTATATACTTTTGGGATTAATGTTTGTTTTTTTTTAATGTTTTGTAGAATTCACATGTGAATCCTTCTAGTCTTGGGGATTTTTTCTTAGGAAGTTCATTGATGCCTTATTCAGTTTCATTTTCTAATATTGTGTTATTTAAGTATTTTATTTCTTCTTCTGTTAATCTAGTTAATGTATATTTTTGTAGATATTCATCCTTTTCATTTGTGTTGTCAAATTTATTGGCATATAATTGGGGAAAATAGCTACTAACAAGTGTCTTAATTTCCTCTTTATTGCAAATGAATTCACCCCTTTTTGATACTAATAATTTGGTTTTCTCCTTTCCTTTTTAAAAATCAAATTAACCAATGATTTGACTATTTCATTGCTTCCCCCCCCACCCTGTAAAAGCAGCTTTTAGGTTAATTTATTAGTTCATTTGATTTTCAGGATTTCCAATTTGGTGTTTAATTGGGGATTTTTAATTTGTTATTTTGCTAGGTTTTTTTTAGTTGCATGACCAATTCATTGATTTGTTTTTCTCTATTTTATTAATGTAAGCAATTGTGTGTGTGTGTGTGTGTGTGTGTGTGTGTGTGTATTTTCCCCTAAGTACTGTTTTGGCTGCATCACATAAATTTTGGTATGTTGTCTCATTGTCATTTTCTTTAATGAAATTGTTGGTTGTTTCTATGACTGTTTTTTGACCCACTTTTTTAGGATTAGATTATTTAATTTCCAATTAATTTTAATATTTTTCCATTGTCCATGACTGAATGTAATTTCATTGCATTCTGATAAAAAAAAAGTTGCATTTACTATTTCTGCTCATCTACATTTGGTTGTGAGGGTTTTATGCCTTAATACATATCATTTTTTGGGTAGGTACCGTGTACTGCTGAGAAAAAGGTATATTACTTTCTTTCCCCATTCAATTTTCTCTATCCATCATATCTAACTTTTCCACAGTTTCATCCACCTCCTTAACTTCTTATTTATTTTTTTGGTTAGATTTATCTAGTTCTGAGAGGAAAAAGTTGAGGTCTCCCGCTAGTATAGTTTTATCATCTATTTCTTCCAGTAACTCATTCAATTTCTTCTTTAGAAATTTAGAAACTATGCCATTTGGTGCATATATATTTAGTATAGATATGATTTCATTATCTATGATACCTTTCAGCAAGATTATAGTTTCTTTCCTTATCTTTTACTTGGATAGATTTTTGCTTTTGCTTTGTCTGAGATCTTGATTGCTACCCCTGTTTTCTTTGCTTCTGCTGAAATATAATAGATTCTTTTCCAGCCCCTTATCTTTACTCTGTGTCTATCTCTCTGTTTCAAATTGTTTCTCATAAATAATAAATTGTAGGATTCTGTTTTTTAATCCATTGTTCTCCACTTCTTTTTTAGGGGTGTTTTAATCCCATTCATATTTATAGTTTTGATTACTAACTGTATTTCCCTCCGTGCTATTTTTCACTTGTTTTTGACTCTCTGCCTCTTATCCCTCACCCTTTCCCCTCTCACAAGTGTTTTAGTTCTGACCCTCACCTTCCCCAATATACCCTCTTTTTTATCTGTCTCCCTTCCCCTTTCAGTTATCTGTAGCCTTTTTTACTTGCTTAAAGAAAGAATAAGATATATTTCTGTATCCAAGTTAGTGTATGTTATTTCCTCTCTGAGCCAGTTTTGATGAGAGTGAGGTTCAAGCTTTGCCTGCCATCCCACTCCCACATCTTTCCTTCCATTATAATAGCTCTTTCATGCCTTTTTTATGTGGCATATTTACTCTCCTTCAATCTCCCTTCTCTTTCCAGTGCAATTTGCTTTCTCACCCCTTTATTTTGTTTTCTTTGGGGAAGGGAGTTATCATCCCATCAAAGTCACTTTATATCTACACCTTCTGTTTACATGTACTCCTTCTAATTGCTCCTATACTAATAAAGTTCTTCAGTTATAAATATTATCTCATCATATAGAAATATAAAGTTAATCCTTTTGTTTTTACTTTCCTGTTTCTTTTTTTTTACCTTTTTTATGTTTCCATTCAGTCTTGTATTTGGAGGCCAAATTTTTTATTCAGCTCTTCTCTTTGAATTAGTAATGCTTGAAAGTCCTCTATTTCATTAAATATCCATTTCCCCCTGAAAGATTTATATTCAGTTTTGTGGCGTAGGTAATTCTTGGTTGTAATCCTAACTTCTTTGCCTTCTGGTATATTCCGGTTCTTTTGTGTGGATGTTGCCAAATACTATGTAATCTTGGCTGTAGCTCCATGATGTTTCAATTGTTTCTTTTTGGTTTCTTGTAATACTTTCCTCCTTAATCTGTGAGCTTTGGAATTAGGCTGTGATGTTCCTGGGAATTTTCATTTTGGGATGTCTTTCAGGCAGTGATCTATGGATTCTTTCAATTTCTATTTTACCCTCTAGTTCTAATATGGTTTCTTTGATAATTTCTTGAAAGATATTGTTCAGGCTTTTTTTTTTTCATTTTAGCATGGCTTTCAGGTAATCCAGTAATTCTTATACTATCTTTCCTGGATCTATTTTCTAGGAGAGTTGTTTTTCCAATGAGAAATTTTACATTTACTTTTTAAAAAAATTTTTTTGATGTTGTTTTATTGTATCTTGATGTCTCATAAAGTCATTAATTTCCACTTGCTCAATTCTAATTTTTAAGGAATTGTTTTTGGGGCAGCTGGGTGGTGCAGTGGATAGAGCTCCAGCCTTGGAGTCAGGAGGAGTTAAGTTCAAATCAGGCTTCAGACAACTGACACTAATAGCTCTGTGACCCTGGGCAAGTCACTTAACCCTGATTTCCTTACCAAAAAGCCAAAAAAAAAAGCAAAATTAAAAGAAAGAAGGAAATTATTTTCTTCATTGAGCTCTTGTACTTCCTTTTCCATTTGTCCAATTTTAGGGAGTTATTTTTCTCAGTAAATTTTGCATACCTTTTCTCTTCTATTGATTCTTTTTCCATGATTCTCTTGCATTACTATCATTTCTTTTCCCAACTTTTCTTCTTCTTTAATTTTCTTTTTAAAATCCTTTTTCAGGCTCTTCCTGGAATTCTTTTTGGCCCTGAGACAAACTATATTTTTCTTTGAGGCTTCACAGGGGGCCATTTGACACTATTATCTTATAAGTTTATGCCTTGATCCTCCCTGGCACTATAGTAACTTTCTATAGCCAAGCATTTTTTGTTTGTTTTATGCTTATTTTTTTCTGCCTTTTTTGTGGCTTGGTGTTTTTATGTGAGAGTTGGGCTCTGGTCCTGCACTGTCCTAAACTTCTTGTACTCCAGCACAAGCTCAGGATATTACTACTGGCTTTCACTGGGCTTCAGGATTAGCTGCTTGCTTTCACTATAGAGTAGGCTTCCCTTTTGGCTTCTACTGAAGGTAGAGCCTCCCTTTTGGCCTCCTCTGGATGTGGGGTTTAGTTGCTGGTCTGCCTCAGGGATGTTGCCTTGGTGATGGGTTACTATGGTAACAAAGTCTTTCCGGTGGCTGGTCCTAGAGGTATAATCTTGTTGTTGGTCTGCCCCAGGGGCAGCGTGCTGCTGTTGCTGGGTTGCTATGAGAACATGGTCTCTCTGTTAGTAAGCCTCAGGGGTGGAGTCTAGCTGTTGGCTTGCCCCAGGGCAGGGCTTCACTACTGGTCAGCAATAGGTTAAAGGTCTTGCTGGTGGCTTGTGCTGGTGGTGATGTTGCTGGTGGTAGGGCCTTGCTGTACTGCACAGACTGCTCACTTGCCTAGGGGGCTTCTGGTTTGCAGAATGGTGGGGCCTAGCTATGGACTGCCCCATGCTGCCAGCCCCCTGCTGTGAAGTTGGCTGCTGCTGCTGCTCTTGGACCTTGCTGTCTTCCCACCTCAGTGAAACAGACTTGTCCTGCCAAGCTGGTAAGCTGCTTCCTGGCTCCTAGATGAATTCTGAGGTGGATTTCTAGTTGTTCAGAGGGGAATTCAGGAGGTCTTCAGAATGTTCTTTTCTCACTCTGCCATCTTGGTTTTAAGTTACATATGTGCTTTAAAATCATCATTTTGACAAATTGGAAAGTAATGAGACTATAAACTGAAAGATCAATTTGATGATTGTTACTAAAAATTCCACTAATGAGGATAGATAAAAGCATCAACTTAGGAAAAGGCAATATGGGTGAAATGAAGTAGACCTGTTTATTTCAGTGAGAAATTTAGTGGGAACTGGACATGATTTTGAAAATTTTTGGACTTGGAGGTGAGGAAAAGGAATAAAAATGTTAGAGTTGGCACTGAAAATTCCAGGGCTATTTGTTCTTTCATCTCAGCTTTCTTATGCATATACCATTATATACGTGCATACATAAATGCATACATATATATATACATACACACACATGTATATGGATCAAATATTACCCACATACATATGTGTGTATTATGTATATGTATACGTAGAGTTGAAAATACCTCAAAAATTGTCCTTAAAGGGATTGGCAAAAGATTCATGTTTGCTTTGGTTGACCATTAGGCTAATTATTCAGTTTTTATCCAACATCCTAATGTCCTGCGAGATTCTTTTAAAGACAGCATCTAACTAAACATTTTGATTGATAAGAGAAATTTTCAAACAGATAAAATATATTGATTTGTTAAACACTATATTAACCACTAGTTGGACTTTAGCCAGGAAAGTTGATGAAATATATACCTTCAGATTTTAAAACTGCCTGCTGGGGTTAGATATTTAACCAAACATTTTCAGACTATGAAAGGGGAAAAGGAATAGAAATGTAATATTTATTTTGTAACTGAATTAGTTGATTTGTCCTATTAAAGTGAAGGTAGGACCATGTTTGAAATGTTAAGCTTAAGTTTAATCTCCATAAAATAGGGAGGACATGGCCAAGATCAAAAAGGTGGATGAGGGCAACAAGAATTGTTCAAGATTGTGAGTATGAATTATAGAGAAAGATTAGACAGATAAGATTAAACAGATTTGACTCAGATGGATAAAAAATAGATTTAGAAGATTTCTGAGTGGTATGTGAAATTGGGAATAGAAAATAATGGATTGATGCCAGTAAGGTGTTTGAGAGACACTGTAACTAATTAGAAAATGAGGTTTATTGACTGCAATTGAGAAGAGGATTACTCTGCAAGCAATTCAGAAAAAGTTTCTTTACCAAAAGGTACCTGGAACCTAGAACAAACTGCTAACATATCAAAAAAAGCTGAAAAACTTTAAGAAATGATCACAAGACAGTATCATCAAGTAATAGGCAACAGGAAAGTGAAAATTAGAATAGAACCCAAATCTGCTTAGTAGAAACCGAAACTGAACAGTGAAATTCACAAAGTTTGACATAGACCTTTTCTAGGAGACTTAAAGTTTTTCAAGTTAATTTGATCTTTGGAGACAGACATGGATATCAGACTTATAATTGGATTTGGTAGGATAAAAATGATCACTTTCAATTCAATTAATCAAGTATTTATTAAGAGGATACTAGGTGCCAAACATTATATTAAGCACAAGGTATAAAGACTCAAAAATTATTTTTTTTTGCTTTCAAGGAATTTTTCTTGTGCTAAGGAAATGACTTGAAAAGGATATGGTTACTTGAGAATTTCAGAGGCAGAATTAGAGGCACATTACAAAATAGAATCACAGTATTTCAGAATTTCAGAGTTTTAATGGGTTTCAGAAATCATCTAGTCCAACCCAATGATAAAGAGGGATAAACTGCTCAACTAATCAATACACCAATAAATTACCAAGCATTTTTAAAATACCCTCTATGTTTAAGATACTTCTATGTTCTTGGAATACAAATATAAAGAATGAAATAATCCTTATTCTGAAGCTTACATTCTACTAAAGAAACCAACAACTGGATAAATATAAATCAATTGATAGATAATCTGAATACATACACACATAACACATATACACACATTATTTGCACACATGCACAGTATAGAGTAGTTTAATAAAAGGTAGTTTGAGAGGTAGGACACAAATTCATGGGATGTGGAAAGAATACAGAAATAGAAGAAAACACTTCAGTTTTATCTTGAAGATAGGAATTCTTTGAGGCAGAAATAAGAAGGGATTCCAGGTATGAGGAATAGGTGGTATGAGGAAGGACAAAGAGAGGAAATGGAGTGTCATATGTAAGACACCAAGAGAAAGCCAGTGTGCTTGGATAGAATAATTCAGGAGGGATTTTAATGGACAAAAAGTTTAGAAAAAGGATTGATCCATAATTACATGAACTGATTCACAGTGAAAAAGCAAAATCAGCAAAATCAAGAATTGTTATTTTTTAAATAACAATTACATTGTAATGACCAACCTTAATACTTGTAATATTATCATCTTTTTTTTTTTCTGAACGTGATCAATATAGAATTTTGTTTTGTTTTACTACATGTGTTTGTAACAGAAGTCCTTGTTTTTCCCTTTATTTCTCAATTGGGAGGGAGAAGGAGAAAGGAAACTAAGTATGGTGTTATTGGTTTAAAAAATATAATTGCATCAAATGTTACCCACTGCTCCTGGCTATGCTCTCGGGAGTCAAGAATAAACTTAATCCATTCCAAATAATAATGCCTGAGAATAGAGGATAACCTAAGAGAGCAGTTTTATATTTTCTTTTTTATTGTGAATTTAGAAATCCTCCACAAATATGAACATTTCAATAAACAAAGAACAATAATAAATAATATTTTAGGGAACCAAGCACTTTTGTTAATGTTTATGGATTTTTTTAAATTTACGTTAAATTTAATGTAGTAATAACAAAAACTGGCATGTTGCATTCTCTTCTCAACTATGTTTTTTTTCTTTTGTGTATTTTAAATATTTTTATTGATCTTTTCTTTCTTTTTTAATATTTATCATTATCCACTTAAAATTCTTCTCTGCAAACCAAACTAATCACCATATAAGTTATATATACAGTCAAGCAATGAAAAAAATCTATATGCTGACTATATTTGAAAATATGCCCCATTTTACAACTCTAACCCATCAATTCTCAATTAAGTAGTGGATAGTTCATTTCACCATCACTCTTATAAAGTGATAACTGATCATTGCATTGATTATAGTTATATAGTCTTTCAAAGTTATTTTTGTTTACATTATTTTGATCAGTATATTAATTGTTCTCTTGGTTTTGCTCAATTCATCATGTAGAAATTCATATAATTCTTCTCAGATATTGAGTTCTCTTAATCCATGTTATCTTTTACAGTGCAGTAACATTACATTACATAAGTATGCCATGTTTTTTCAGACATTCCTCAAGCTATCAACACCCACTTTGCAAGTTTTTTTTTTTCTGTAAGAATAATTATTATTTCTTGTGAAGAGAATGCTTGGTAAGGATGATGCCAGTGTTTATTGTAGTGATAATAACGTCACTGACACTCGTATAGCACTTCAAATTTTGCAAAATGAGTTATATACATTATCTCATTAGATTCTCAGAACAATGTCATGAAATATTAAAAATCTGTCAGGCTTTGTTATTTCTGTCACTGGTGATCCTATTAGGATTAGTAATTACCTTTTCATAAAAGCAAACTGATATCAAATGTCCGATTGATATTGGGTACATATCAAGCAGTTAGTCTATAGTTCTTAGCACACAGAATGCAATTTCCAAACCTTTTCCAGGGAACACAAATATTTTGTGAAGAGACTACTCCCATGAACTGATGGCCAGGTCATTGAAGCAGCCTTCTACTGTCAAGCTAGGGCCTTGGTAGCAGTGAGTTATGAGCACAGGACAAAAAGGTGAGCCTGGTAGTGCTGAGACAGGCCTGTACAGTGTGTAGTTCTTCTTCAATGTAGGAAATAGGTCTGGAATCGAGTGAGGCAGTAATTTACAATGGTGATCAAAGACCCATACAAAGATACCAGACCACATTGGGTCAGGAATGAGAATCTAGGAAATAAATCTAGCCAATGGTATGATGAAATGCCAATAAGAACAGACTCTGAAACCTCGCCCAAGGTCATTTCAGCCAGGGTCTCTTTACTTCTTATACAGGGAAAGAATTAGCTTCAGACCCCCAAGTGAGCCTGAGCATAATTAACATCCATGAGGCAAGTGGTAGAAATGACTGAATTTAAGGAAGAAGGAGATAGAAAGCAGAATAATTCATCTTATCTGGTTTAAACTCAAGTTTCAGTCATTCTCTGTTCCAATAGATTCAAGATGATCTTTTTCAAGTGGTTTCCATCACATTACTTCCATACATAATCCTATAAATTGCTTTTCATATCAAATCTAGCCTTCAAAGTTTTCCTAAAATTTTACCCACCCCTTCCCCACTTAATCTAATTCCTTCTCCTTTTCCCTAATATGCCTCTATCACTTGAAATAAGCCAGCATCTTAACCATATCCTGAATAATAATAATTATAATAATAATAATAACAATGATGATGTTGATAATAATAATAATAATAATAATACCTGGTATATACGTTGTACTTTACAGTATATAAAGCATTCTATAAATGTTATCTAATTTGATCCTCCCAGTAACCCCATGTGTTAGGTACTACAGTTATGGTAACTAAGCCAGTAAATGTCAGAGATGGGATTTGAAGTCAGGCCTCTTTTGGCTTCAGCATCGACATACCTCTCCTTCTCCTCCCTCAGGGAGATGGCTTCTTTGTGAAATTGGGCTGTTATCTGGAATGATTCTAACTGATCTCTTTCTCGAAATGTTTCATTGTATTTTAAGAGGCACCTAAGGTCATAATTAATTATTTATTGGTCCTCAGAGTTGCTTCCTTTCTAATATACTTAGTGAATATGTTCATACTGCATATGGCATTATTAAAATAGTTAACTTTTAAGATTTGCTTTAATATGTCTTTACAAGTTCTTTATTTTTTGGGATCAGGTACTGTAATTTCAGATACAACTACCTTATAACACTTCTCCTGTCTACCAAATTATGTCTATTCAGCTCTGTGCACTCAGGAGGTAATCTGTAAACTCTTGCTGAATAAATTACTGATGGCTTTGCAGACACTCTGGTTTTAGTACTGATCAAAAGAAAACCAGCATAACTCAACAGTAGATTGAGGTTGAATGTGTTCAGCACCAGAGGGTTAATTATATCTCTCCCTAAAGCCATTTTTCAAAAATTTAATTTAATTGAATTCTACCATGTATTGAATTGTGAACTATAGCAGTATATTCCCCACAAAAGATATTCTCCCTCCTCCAAACGGGATTATGGATTGAGGACCAATCACTCAGGCTTTGAAGTTTAAGTGATAAAATATACTATACATATGGGTTCTCATGTACTATTTTAAATATTTTGATGTAAAACAAGGAAAACTTCTTTGAGCCCAAAAGAGAATATTTTAACCTACTAATTGTTATTTACCATGTTCATTTTAACCCGCTCCTAATTCCTGGTCTGATTCAAATAACTATGTGAGTAGCTATTTGAGTCACTGAGAAAGGTCTAAGGTGATCCTTGAAAACAAGAAGAAACTTCCAAGTTAGGGAGTTGTAAAAGGAATAGAGAGAGTCAGTGAGGTTGCTGATTGCCTGCGTGGAGAGAGGGAAAAGAATGATGAAAGGCTGCTAGTGAGAGAGGGAAGAGTGATTTTTTAAAATTTGACTTTTTATGCAGAAAGAAACAACTGGGGGGGGGGCCCAAAGATAAACTTGACTGATGTCACAAACTTTCCTTGAAAAGATCACTTTGTGAAGATACTTGGATAGGTGCCATAATACAAAGAAAGTTAAGTATGGTTTCTTTCTCTATTACATTCTTTTGGAATCAAATAACATCTACACAGGCAGGAATGGTGCAATGGTAACAATATTGAACTTGGAATCAGAGGACCTGAATTCTCATCTTTCTACTTACTACCTAGGTAACCTTTGGCACTTTGCTTAACCTCCCTAGGTAGGTAGGGATCACCTTCCTCATTTGTAAAATTAAGTTGTTGGGTTAGATCATCTCTGAATTCTCTCCCAGCTCAAAATCTATGATCCAGTGGCCCTAAAAACAAAATAACTTTGCAGAATCAAAGCACTAACAATTTGCAGGATAAGCAAAGGGAAAAGAAAAAAAAAAAAGGAACCATACTTGACATTTGTAGTCTGAAATTCCCTTATAGCATTGTAAACCTGTAAACTAGTACTGCTTGTGTTTACTAGATAACAGTAGAGAATGAAGAATAAGAGTCTACTAAGGGAGAAGTAGAAACAGGTAATGGTCATGAACCAGGATGTGGTCTTTGGCAGAGGTATCTCACTTTTTTATCTTTGGGTCCTATTCTTAGATCAACTTCAGCAATGGCTGGAAGGGCAGAATATAACAAATATACTGGCACTCCAAAGGTAAGGTCACTAACAATGATTATGACCCTAATGAGTTCGTGTGATTAAAGGGGAAAAGGAAGGCCAGCACTTTTCATACTTCACACATGTGAAGATTAGTTTTTGATTAGTATTTACAGTGTCCAGCTAAGGTACCTATTGTGTTGACTATACTTCTTAGACTCTTTATTTGCCCTAAGTCTTGGCTCAAAAAGAGCAACTTCCTGCCTTAAAACTGCTCACCAAGCCTGTTTTTAAGCTTGACTGGCTTCTTAGCCATCTCGATCATTATTGTCACATTGCTTGAGGCCATGCTTCAGTGAATCTTAAAAGTGATTTTTCTGCCCTCCCTGCTTGATCATGCCTCTCCAGTTCACTGTCCAACATCTGCTTCAATATCCTACTGTCATCCTCTCTTCTTACCTACAAAGGATGAAACTATGAATATACACACATTTACAAACAAACACACAGATTTAGATAGTTGTCATACAAATAACAGTCAACCAATTCTATTCCATTTAAGTTTATACATTTGATTGACTCAGAAGGTAAGATACAAAAAAAAAAAGAGAGAAATAGACAGAGACAGAGACACAGAAATATAAAGAACTGAGCTAGAGAGACAAAGACACAGAAATGTAAAGAACCAAATTAGAAAGGCAGAGACAAAAGACGTAGACAAAAACAGAGAGACAGAGATAGACAGAAAAATTAGATGACGGCAGTCATGTTTCCCTTTGGAATTCATGTCAAGCAAAAGGGCATTCCATGCATTCTGTAAGAAAGTTCCTCACAGTCCCTAGGCCTCAATGATTCCTGGCACAGAACAATGGAGAATATGAAGGAGCTGATCCTTTGCTGCTATGCTTTCTGAAGAATTTGTGTCTAAAATCTGTGAGGTCATTGAAGAAAAGAGTAGGAGTTTATTGATGGTACTGAAAAGCAGAGTAAAGTACAGAAAGATGTATTCCTGGTGGTCAGTTATTTTCAAAAATATAATCCTTCATTTTCTTTCAGTAATAACATTTGTTTAACCTACTGTACCAATTCCAGGTAATCATACATTATCTAGGTTTGCTCTAGGACTTCTCAAAGCTGCATCACCATAGCAACTCATCCTGAGGAAAATTACCGCGGAAGTGATTCTAGAAAAGGGTTATAGTTTTCTGAACCCCAGCTGTTTTTTGTGCTAAAGTTGTCTAGCAATCCTAAGCAGTTTTACACATGCGAGTTTTTGTGGAAACTTTTGTTAAGGATTGAAGCTCTTTTCCAAATGGTTCTGACTCACCTTATTACTCTCAACTCCTGTTACATCTCAGGTTGTTCTCTCCACACCACATACTTATCGTCTTGTACTCCTGCTATGGAAGAGCCTTCATTGACTATTTCTTAGGGGGGTTTTTTTGTTGTTGTTTTTATAAATGAATGGAGCCACACAACTGGAACTTTCCACAGACTGTTTCCGTGTACCAATAAAGTCCTATATCTTTGTTGTACAAAACACTTTATGGTAAAAATGGTTCTTCAGAGATTATTGGGGGTATAGATAGAAAGAAATGCTTGAAAAGTTTTATTATAAACAATTTTTTTTGTATTATTATAATGATGCTAACATGCTGCAGCCCAAACAGGAACAATCACCCATAATCCTAAGACGAGGAAGTGGTTAGATCATTAACTGAAAACCAAGGAAAGCAGCCTGTCTTTATTATCCTTTTTCACATCTGTCAATTTAGATTGAGCAGTGTTGCCATGCATGTCTGACTAAAAAAATTAAATTAATGATGACAGAGTGAGTTAGTTGGGTAAAACAATCAAGGAATGAGGAAGTACAGGCCTGAGCCCGTGAATAATTTGCTTGGATAGTCTGTTATTATCCTTCATACACTCTATGGACTATCCAGATTTCCTTACTGGTTCCTCAGATCACTATGTCATCTTGCATCTGTGTATCTGCACAAATTGCTTTTTATTCCGTATGTGATTGTAGGATCTTGTGAGATTTTAGCCCCTTGAGGAGTAAAATAAAAGATCTATTCCATACCCATTAACCATATTGTTTGTCTAATGCTGGTGTAGCATTTGGAGACATCTTGGGTTCACCTATATGATCGATATTTAAATTTGATCTTGGAGACTTTTCCTAGGCTAACTCAAGTAGAAGCAATGAGGCAAAAGAAAAGAGGTCATCCATTTGGGGATAAGTTATCAGGATAGGAAGTAGTCCTTAGGAGGTTCTAGGCCAGGGCTTCTTAAACTTTTTCCAGACCCCTTTTCTTATTTCAGCAGCATTCAATGGTTTTGCATGGCCTAAGGGCAAGCACTGCCAGAAGCACCTTGGATTCATTAGGCATTTCATCTTTAATTAAATTTTGGTCATTGAAGCATTCAGAAACATTTTATTGTTGCCAAATTTTTCACCACCCCATATGGGGTCACGACCCACAGTTTAAGAAGGGCTGTTCTAGGCAGTGGAATATAGGCCTGTAATGCCTTACCAAAAAGTTTACCTCAAGTATCACTTCTTATGTGAGACTTTTCTTGATCCCCTTGCTATTAATTTGTGTTAATTAAACACAAATTACTTTGTGTATATCTCATATAATGGAAGATCTTTGAGAACAGGGAAGATTCCTATTTGTCTTTATATACTAAGTACAGTAACAAGTACAATGCTTGTCTCATAGTAGACTCTTAATAAATATTGTTGATTAATTTATAGGACCATAAATTTACAGCTACATTTTATGAAGTAGCAAAGTACTTAAAATATTAATTTAGAATTGATGATCTAATTGAGGTGCATGAGTGTAATAGAATGTTATGTGAAAAGGAACAATAAACATGAAGAATACAGAGAAACATGGAAAGACATATGAACTGAAGCAAAATAAACTAAGAACAACGGGGTTATTTACAAATACTGCAATAACATACATTAAAAGAAGAGAGACAGCAGTGGCAGCTGCTACAGAAAGGAAACTGAACATTATATAATTTGAATGTTGAAACTTGGGCCTAGAGAAGAGATGTAAAAATGTACCATCCTCCCTTCTTTGCAGAGGTGAGGGATTATATTTATTTATTTATATTTAGTTTTCAACATTCACTTCCACCAGATTTTGAATTCCAAATTTTCTCCATCTTGTGCCTCTCCCCACCCCAAGATGGTGTGCATTCTGAATACCCCTTCCCCTAATCTGAGCTCCCTTCTATCTTCCCCTTTTCTCTTATCCCCTTTCCCTTCTATTTTCCTGTACGACAGGATAGATTTTTATACCCCATTGCCTATATATCTTATTTCCCAACTGCATGTAAAAACAATTTTTAACATTTGTTTTTAAAACTTTGGGTTTCAAATTCTCTCCCTCCCTCCCTCCCCACCCACCCTCATTGAGAAGGCAAGCAACTGGATACAGGTTATACATGTGTAGTCATGCAAAACACTTCCATAGTAGTCATGTTATAGAAAACTAACTATATTCCACTTCATCCTAACCTGTCCCCCATTTATTCTGTTCTGTCTTGTGACCCTGTCCTTCCTTAGAAGCGTTTGCTTCTGATTACCACCATCACAAGTCTACGATGCCAGCATTCTTCCTCACCCCAGGATCACCACCCAGTAATGTGACCCAGATCCAAGCATGGGCAAAGCAAGAGAATCCTGCCTCAGCACCAGCAAAGAGATCCCTTCAATCTCCCTCTGATCAGCCACTGGATTCCCCCTCAGTCTGTGGGCCCAAAGCTCTGGAAGCAGCCCCTGCCCCAGGGCTGTCTGGGACTGGGGCAGGGACAATGCTTCTCTCTCACTGTGGTCACAGACCTTACCTACTGACCTTCTAAGTAGTCTTTGGCTTTTGTGGGTTGAGAAGTCTGGGAACTGCCACAGCTGTCCATGATTCAGTACGCTGAGGCCTGCCCCAGGTTTGCTGAGGCCTAGTCTTTGCTTGTGCACCCATGCTGAACTGTGTTCCTTTCCCAGCCTGGCACAATAGACCTTTCCAATCAACCATCCAGGTTGTCTTGGGCTGGAAATTTGTTTCACTCTGTCTTTTTGTGGGTTTTGTTGCTCTAGAATTTGTTTGGAGCCATTTTTTACAGTTATTTGGAAGGGTTTGGGGGAGAGCTCAAGCAAGTCACTGCTTTCACTCCACTATCTTGCCTCTGCCCCACCAAGGTAAGGGATTTTATATATATATATATATATATATACATACACATATATATATATATATATATGCACACATATATATATATGTGTGTGTGTGTGTGTGTGTATGTGTGTGTAAAACATTGCATATTTCTGTTACACTCTCTCAATTATACTACAATAAACTCCTTTTAAAAAACAAGCAGGTTGATATGTTGTTATGAGTTTGTTAGGTGAAGTAGAGGGCAGGGAAATCCTTGATGTCTTCTTTCACAGATTTTAGAGGGTTTATAGTATTTGGAAAACTTAGGAAAATTGTGGTAGCATGATAAATTAAGGGAGCATCTGTGAACTAAGTTCCAGCTAGATAGGAAAAATGAGGTCATGACATATATTCATTTTTGACAATTGAATCACACTGAATTTCTTACATTTCTTTGTAAGTCTTCTTGCTAATGACAAACTCTGTGATTTTGTTCATGTTGTTCCTTTATAAACACATTTCTTTACTGATTTTCTCCATCCCCTTGCTTCATAAATTATTTATGGAGACAAGAAAGTTAGGAGCTAAGATTTCCCACATATATTCTAAGAAAGGTTAAAAACAAAGAGGTACCAGATTGAATAAGGTACAAGAAATCTAATTAACAATAGCAGTCTCCTTGATCTAGGTCAGGAGTGCTCCAAAAGATAGCCAAGAATCTGAAGTAATTTAGAGAGGGACCTTCCCCTGCAATGAGATTAGGAGAAAGGCAGGAAAGCAAACAGGCCTGAAGCCTGGAGTAATCTGAATGAAAGTGATCCAGAAAACAGGAGGGAAAAAGGTCCTCAGTGCACTCAATCAAACACATGAGGCAAGGTAGAAGTT